AATGTAACGACGCGATATTTCGAGGAGAGGGAGGCAGACGTGATTAAAACAAGCAGACCGTAATTATTTAATGTAGACGTCTCCGAGAAATGAAGGTGGAAGGATTCAGCTAAGGGAATGAAGATCTTTGAATCTTCATATTGCTGCCGCGATATCCTATCGAGATAATTCACCGACGTTCATGCATTCCTGAATTTTTTAAGAAATCCGTCCGTTCCCTTGTCAATCTATTTAAATATAACCGGACAGGTTGAACAACTTTTGATGCTACTTTCTTAGCGCTATCAGAATACCAAGCACTTTTTGGGATGAAGAAATTATTGTTTTTGTGAACGTTGATTTCACTTTATATAAAACACAAATGGATCGAAAGAAACGCATTAATAGTGTATGAAACAAAAAAAGAAGATTCCACGCGCGCTCACAATATTATACAGCGATATCGACTTCAAACGTCGAAGTTAGACATTTGTGACGTGCGAAATACGATCCGCGAAATATGATCAGTCCGATTATCGAGATCTAATAAGGAATGTTTGTTAAATATCGATTAACGTCGCATCCTGGTGAGCCACGTTTATATTCGAAGCGAGGCGCAGCTGTAAATATTATGTCGAATACGACGCGTAATAACAATCGTCAGGACAGCCGGTGGTGATCGATGCGAGAGAAGGTTACGATAACGAGCCGCACGTCGCGCGGCGCGCGCGCGCTACCGGATGAAGAAATTGCAAATATTTGGCGAAGATCGGCGACGCGATTGCACACGGGCGGCGGAAGATAAACCAGATTGTGAGGAGGACACGACAAACACGCGTCTTTCACCGCGAGCAAGCGACGCGAGTCATACACATTCACGAAGTGGACTCGTCGAGTTTTATTTCTGCTGCACGATTTATGTGCTCTCTCTCTCTCTCTCTCTCTCTCTCTCTCTCTCTCTCCCCCTCTCTTTCTCTTTGCGCAATATTAATATCCATTAATATAATTAATTCTATATATTCCATTATATTGCTTCGCAACGTTAGGCAAAGTATTTCAACATTGTCCAAATTCTTTCCACCTGTCTGTCTTTGTTCCTTTATCTCTTCATCTTTCTATACTGAGAAAAATACTTGAAAATTTACTGATAGTGTAAAGTACATTTCTGCAAATAAATTTTCAAATATTTTTTCAATAATATGAGATACAAATACGATCTTTGTTCTTTCCGTCGAGCACAATTAATAATGTTGGACTCCGCGCGCAATAATAAATTTATTGGAAGTAGCACGTTTGGTGGGTCTGATAAACTTTATACGGTTATTCTAACCCTTCCATTCGCACAATCCTAATTGTTCTGTGGTTTCCTTCCTATTTTTTCTCTTTTACCTCTCTCTCTCTCTCTCTCTCTCTCTCTCTCTCTCTCGCGCGCGCGCGCGCGCGCTCCGTCCTTTTCGGAAAGAAAAATATTTTTATAGAGTAAGTCCACAGGCTACCATAAACTATTAAGCCGCTGCAGGTGTCCTGCACGATCCCCTCTTCCCTTCTATCTCAGCAAACTTTTCTTTCTTTTAGTGCCGTACCTGTGTCCGGCGGCAATCCGCTGCCGTCCGCTGTAGTTCTAGAAAGGGAGGGAGAGCGAGAGAATAATGCGCGCGGATGGACCTTAGGGGTTACCGATGAATGGAGATACGCGGCTCTGTGGGCGCAAGCCGATCGACCAATTACCGGGAACCTCGTCGGCGATATTTCGCGCGACATGCGATTATTCCGCGCGTCCTTAATTTTTTCACCGAGTCATCGCTGATTGGACGTCTTGTGCGAAAATTGCAATATTTCGCTGACGAAGTATCGTTTTTGTACGGAGAGAATATTACAGTTTTTCCTTTCCATCATTTTCTTTTTAATTCTACTATGTTTCTAGCAGTGTGCAGAAATATATAAACTGTCAGTAACGACTGTCTTGCTAAGAAGTATAGTAAATCTCGCCGCAAACAACAAATTTCACTAGAAACATATTTTAATAGCACACTTCTGTTTCTAAAACGTAAATAGCACATATGAAATGAAAGGCCGTCAATTACTGTAGAAAATCGATCTATTCCTCGGTCACAAGATTCTGTAATAAGTTTTACTATAAAATTCTCTTCGCGTATACGTACGAATCACAGTATAGGTACGAAGTGCTCTAGACCGAAAATCTAAAACTTTTGACACCGCGACGGTCAATGGTCGGCATTAATCGACACTGTGATATCATCGCGACTTACTGAGTTACGTATAATCGCCCCTTAAAAAACCGATCAGAGAGTCAATGGTCCATATTCTGAACTCATCGCTAAGAGTGTCTCGAAAGGTAACTTATAGTCCATTAAAAAGTATTTAATAATTATGAAGCATTTTTAGAGACGTATTGTTAACGATAAAGGAGAATTCAAGAATAAGTAATGCAATTTCAAGTATAATATAATTATTATAAGTTATAGTCTAATGCAATTAAAAAAGCATATTTATTTTTCGACTCTTATATCTACTTACTGTATCTTCAATAATTAAATCGTCAGTTCAGTTTTCGGCAGGCAAGACGGCGATCGACTATTCGCAGAGAACGAGAGCAATTCTCTATAATAATTTCAAAGTTGTCTAATTTCAGCGAGATACCGCCGGCTGGCTATTTCATTCGCGACGAGACACACGATGAATGACAGCGAATCTCGGGCGAATTGGTTTTTTTCGGTCCAGATATTTTTTTAATCGGACGATCGGAAGCAATTATCGCACGTACCAAACGATATAAGTATTCCGGCTACAGCGAGTAAGGCCCGCACGCGCGCGCGTGCATACACGCCACCACCATCGCGGCGTTCCCGAACGAGGTATTTTCGTTTGCGTGAGTAAATCGCCATAAAATCGTCGGGCAAAAGAGATCGGGCAAACTGACCGTGTTTGCCATCGACTCGATGCTCACAGCGTGTGTCCCAGTTACATCGTAAAACTGTCGTTTTTGCCTCAATCCCGAACGGCCCGATGCTAAATTGAAGCCCGTCGCATATCTCGATTTAACTTACACACGCACGTACAACGCTGATTCCGCAGGGGATGAAATCGAGCTCAACTGACCTGAAACAGAAAAAAGAGAGAAAAACGCACGTTACAACTGTTATCCTTACGTGAGGTACATGAAAAAAATTTGCAAAGAATACAAGCCTCGTCGTTATTATTCTTTCCCTCGAGCGGGGAATTCGCGATCGAACGTGCTCCCCGTCCTTGCCCTCTCCCCCTCTCTCTCTCTTCCTCTCTCTCCCTCCAATTTCTATTCATTCGATTTTGCCGTATTATTTTTATTTCGCAGCGACCGCGGTTGTGAAACCGCGTTTCCCATCCGGGAACAAAATCGAACTGTATATTAAACAACACATCGCCGCGTATAAATCAGATATTACCGCCAACGTGAACGGAGTCGAAACTCGCGTAGTGTCACGACTTCGTTCCAAGGTGGGTAAAGAGCGAGGAGCGCGTGGTGCGAGTGAGGGCACGTGGGATAATTAACGGCGGTTCCTGCCGTGTGGCGTTTCGTATATGGCCCGGCGTCGGCATCCGAGCGACGACCGGGATCGATCGGGATCGTTCGCCGGTGAGAAGGCGAGGGGAGAATCGAAGGGCGAGAGCCCAGACCTTCACGGACCCCGGACAATCACCGACAAATGCCGCTACTTGGGTGGCGAGACCTTCCCCGTCTCGCTCCACGCCGCTCTTGTCCGCCTTTCCGTTCTCGCCCGTGTTTCCCGGCGAAGTCAGACTTCTGACGTCGTGACGACACGATATTTGGAAAAAAACCGCCGCGCCATTGTGCGACTTTTGCGAAGAGTGGAAGTGTCGGCGACTGAATGGCGAAAATGTGTCGCTGTTAGAACCGTCTAACGTCCGTTATTGTGCGTCTTCCATGCGCCCAACCTCGCTTCGCGTCGCGTTCCGAGAAAGAAACGACCGATCAAAGGTGATAATTGCAACAACTGACACATTCAATCTCATTCTTAATGGAATCTTGCCTCTTATAGCACTCGAGTTATAGCACTCTCTTATAGTGCTCCTAAAACCAAAAGAAAACTCCTAACACCTAATTGAAAGAAAAGAACTCTGGTTGCGTGATGCTTTTTCCTGTAATTCCATATTTTAAGTGAATGCTGAAAAAATATTCTTCTAATGAAATTAGAGCTATTAGTTGAAATTATATTGAACATTACTCTAACTTTTTTCTTTTAGTGAATCGAAAGAAATATGCTTACATGAAGCAGAATGCTTCTTAAAAGAAATTCCTATTAAAGGCAAGACTTGTAGATAAAGGATGAAATTCCTTTAACTTTAACAATACTATGCTTAGAATACTGTTCTTTTTTAGGAAAGTCTTTTGAGGTCACCTATCAGACGAATCCGCTGAATATGATAAAGCTAAATGTAATAAAGATTACATTTTTTGGACGCGCATTCGCTATCGTTCTTTATACAATAATGTATACTTATGTTGCAATTTTAAGCAGAATTGTAAGTCTCGTAACTTGTTCTCGTAAAATTGAGAACTTATGAGTAGATTTACAAGTCTGTGCAATATCATATGTCGTACAATTACTCGTAAATATCTACGATTTCATGTAATTTACGATATTTACAAGTGATTGTACGATTGTACGATATGATATTGCATAGACTTGTAAATCTACTTATAAGTTCTGACGAATTTTATGAGAACAAGTTACGAGACTTACGATTCTGCTTAGAATTGCAGCATTAATTTTAATGTGCGACGCTGGTAACGGGCGTATTAATATCGCCATATCTTTTCTTATTTAGCGTATTAGAATTATTATCGAGCGGAAGAGAACGATTTTCCGGATTGTCGCGAGATTGTACGAGGCAATTATTCGCAGACAGCGGATTTCCGCCGAGCGAACAAGCCGCGTCGCAACAACAGCGTGAGTCGCCGCAACGTGTGGTCCGCTTTAGTAAACACGCGGAGGGCAGGGATGGGGGTAATTAATTAAAAAGACGTATTAATATCGATTAAGCGCGCTCACCCTACCCCCTGCCTTCCCCCGCCCGCTCAGCCGAAAATTAGCAGCCCGTTCCGAGATATGCCGTCCGAGAGAAATCCTTCGCCACGTTATTTTTACGGTCGCGCGAGTGACTCTGCCCGGCGGTGGACACTTAAGGACTCGTCGTTCTGCCGGACCCGATAATTGATCGTGAAGTACGTAATCGCGCGGCAACGCGTAATTATTTTCTTAATAAGGCGGCAATAATAGCATTCGTTTGCCGTAATTACAGAGGGACGTGTACGTGCGGCGCAGGTGAGGTGGAGAGCAGGGCGATCGAAAGAAATAATTATCGTGTGTTCATGGTCGGACTTTACGACGAAAGGCTCCACGGTCTTTCTCACAATCGCGCATGCCGCGCTCGTTATTTAGACTAGACACACTGTACTTGCAGTAATCGCATGTAATCGGCCGGCCGGCTAATAAGAATCGATCGTGCACGTAACTTCTCCGCCTCTCTCGTATCGATCGGAAAAGTGTATTTTCATTAATTAAGTGGATTTTTGCTAAAGGAAACGTATGTCTAAGTTTAAATTATCTAATTTAATTTGCTGTGACGTATAAATATTCCAATAAATAATTATGAGAAGTCCTACACATCTGTGGAATATTTTTATACGTATATTCAATAATGATATTCTAATTACATTAAATTGTTCTCAACAACCGATATCGCATGTTACTTTTTTACTAATTATATGAATGCATGTTTTTTTTCATATGTCCTTATGTAAAGATATGTCCTTACAAACCAACGCGCTCTATTTGCAAAATTAAAATATACTTATAAAAATGAAATTTTTATGAAAATATATTTTTAAATTATGTATATGACTAAATAATTAGAACAAGTCTTGCGAGTGTCTCTTGTTAGCACGACGGCTCTTAACAAGAAGGGACTGTTTAGACCTTATCTTGTTAAAGTGAAGGTATCAGTGTCTAAACACGTACTTTGAGTATTCCTATCGCGTTTTGGTCTTTATATACAAATATTTAAACGTTCGACATATATATGTGAAATATATATGAAATATATATATATTTATTGAATATATGTACACATATTCTATGCTGAAAGTTTAAATGTTCATATTTAAAAATTAAAATAATAGGAATGTCAAGAGAACACTGCGAACCCGAACTCTTTGTTTTTGATACACTTTTGTGAGTATGTAGAGTAAATCAATATATGAATATAGAGTATGTAGAGTAAATCAATATATGAATAACAGTATATTTCATTTGCCTTTAAACAGCCCTATCGCTATTTAAAGATATGATTTATACTCTCAAAGTAAAAAGGACGATTCCACTTTTTCGTGTATTACTCTTAAATTGAAGGAGATGGAAAAAATTTTTTCGAATAAAAGTTTAATGGTAAGTTAAGTGCTGTAAATTGACATAAGTATAAATAAAAAAATACCTATAAAAAATTCTTGTACAATAAAAAAGAGTATTTTTTATTTATGCTTCACGTCAATTTACAGCACTTAACTTACCATTAAACTTTTATTCGGAAAAAATTGTTCTATCTCTTTTAATTTAAGAGTAATACACGAAAAAAAGTGGAATCGTCCTTTTTACTTTGAGAGTGTAAATCATACCTTTAAATAGCGATAGGACACAAATGGAATATACCGTTATTCATGTATTGATTTACTCTATATACTCACAAAAGTGTATCAAAATTAAAGAGTTCGGGTTCGCGGTGTTCCCTTGTGAGTCACAAAACGGTTTGAACGTCACTGAAGTTGCAGCGCTTCAAGATGTCAACAGTGAGAGGTACTGCTGACGCACTTGCCCATGAATCGGTTATTACAGCAGTCGAAGTGACAGTACATGATGTATTAAGACGTATTAACACGTCATTACGTTATCTTAAATTTATTTTCACATCTTTTAATTTTGATATCTTGAAGCGCTGTTCATAATGCGTTCATACTATTTTGTGACTCAGTGTGCGTGTTCAGAAATTGGCACTTTCACCTTATCTACGGAAAATTGGAGCAAACGCTGATTGCGATTGTCTCGCGATACACGCCACGGTAGGTCCCAACTTCACGTTTACCGACACTGGCAGTGGGTATCATTATCATCGTTCCCATTCCACACTCGACCGTACTTCGTATCGCGCCTTTTTCCGATAGAACGTGACGCAAGCGATGCGCGTCAGTCGTACCTCGACCTTATCAGATTGTCTTTGATTTAGACGCGCGTAGATTATCCGCGGATGCTCAACAGCACGGTTGGTACGCGAAACGGCAAAGACAAGTGAACGTGCGATCTCTCCTCCATCCCCTCCGTCTCACGTAGGCGAGCTCCGCAAGATTTATTGGGCGACATCATCGCCGGGAGCGAACGGAATTAAGGCGGATTCACGAGGTGTCCCCTCGCTCGCCGCGGCTCTTCAAGAGCACGTTCCGCGCCGATTCTACGAACACTCGCGTGCAACGGCGGCGTATCCTAAAAAAAGAGGAGGCAGGAAGGGAGAAAAGAAAGAAAGGGGTAAAAAAAACGGTGCCTATCACATGACCCTAAATTTACCCTCGATTACGGCTTATTACGGGCGAACACGATCGCGGAACACTTCCCCGAGACCGGGGAAGTCGACGTCCCGCCGACGTTACCGCTCCCGACCGGCGGATTCTTACGGGTGCAATTACACACGGTGCAATTATGTTCTGCCCTCCCTCATGTCCTGCTGCTCGTCCGACGCTCGACGGCCTGGCCGTCTCCTGCGGCGCCTATCACCGGCGATACAGGGGGGAGGAGAAGGGGGAAGGGGGAATCGTTAGACACGCGTCGGATGATTCGCGAAACACTCGTTATTATTCACTCGGTCGACACGAAGGCCGACGTTCGGCGATGTGACAACGGTGATTACCGGAGATTCATGGCGCACGCGACGGCAGAAGATTTGTTAGGCGCTTCGATGACCCACAGACTGACTCGGACTTATCGCGTGCTCCTTCGCGGACAAATCGCTTTCGACGAATCGTCGCGTTTTCTCCTCTCCATTCTTTCTCTTTGTTTTTTTTTTTTAATTCGAACAATACTCGAAAATTGGTTGAAATTTGTCGATCGCGCGTCCAGGCGCATTTGAAAAAATTAGTTAAATAATCGCGAAATTGGCTATCAAGCGCAAACAACACGCATATAGTGAGTACGTAAGAGGAGATGCGGCGCAAAAAATAATTGTGCACTGTAAATAATTGATCATTGCAAGTGACATTAATTTTTATAACGTTCAATAATAATAATGGGAAGAAAAAAAAATAATCGGAACTCCCCGACGGGGAATCGAACCCCGGTCTCCCGCGTGACAGGCGGGGATACTAACCACTATACTATCGAGGAGAGGACTGGAAGACTTCTCAAGTTGGCGCTACACAATCGACTAAAAGGAAAACGGAACTTCGAGTTATTAATTGATCTTTAGTCTGAATTCTAACAATACAGAGAGTCTCCGATATATCTAACCTATTTGAAACGACAATTTTCCTGATAGTTCGTAATTATGAGATGAAATTTTTGTTTGCTCAATTATGAGATAATTAAAATAACGAGAATAACTTGAAGAGTTTGGTGAGTAATAATATAATGAAATTAAACAAACAATTAGTTATTTTGTCAAAATTCTAAATTGTCCGTGACTTTTTCCCCTGGCTGGCAAATATCTCTGTCGAATCGAATCAGTTAATATCGATCAAATCGCTCGGCTCGTAATCGACGTCAAACTGATAGGTAGCTCGGCCCACGTGAAATCGGTTTGCAAATGGTAACACGCGATTTGAACGTGCGTGCTTAGTTAATTGTGCGAAATTTATCGCGAAACCGAGGCGTGGCGAGGCGCGGCGCGGCGTACAGGAAGGGGACAGGCGGAGGGGATACCCCACGTGCGATTACACCTATTTGATATGCCGCGACATTCAAAACTCGTACATCACACTTAACCGTTGAATATGGAACAGTCAGTCCCGGCAGCGGCGCATCCAGCATGCATATGTAGACCGCAATTATGGCCGTTAACTATCGCCGGCACGCACGCTGAGCACGAATTTTCCATTGCGCCATCGGGCCTTGCCGCTTTTTCCCCTCCTCGAGTGCTCGATGGCATCGCGGAGGAAGTGCTTCCTCGCTTCTCGTCATTTCGACAGTCACGGTGATGATCGTAAATCGGCAAACGCGCTTACAAAATGCACACATTCGGCCTTGCGATTCCACTGACCGTCGGGATTTTCTTAGAATGGCGCTCTCTAAAGTGCAACCAATGTATTCCTCACTGAAGTGTGTTATACTTGTAACTGTAATTTAATTAAAAGTATGACACTGCAACCAATTAAATTTCGCTGAAAGTATCAGTTAATGGTAACGATGTTTCCATTGTTGTTGCATTTTGAGAACATATAGAGTCGTTGTACGCACAATTCGCATAGAAGTTAATTCCATTGTTGCAAAAAATTGGATTTGATACAGTGTATAACGAATTTGCAAATTACAAATTTTGAAATAAAATTTTACTCGGCAAAATCAATGAAATATAGCAGCAGTAGAATAGGAATATTTCTATGAAAATCAGTGAATATTTATTGATTATCGCGTTGAAATACTTCTTTCACTGATACAATCGAAAACATTTTTATTGATTCAGTTTAAAAGAGTGTAGACAGATGGATAGGGTATCTGAACCGATAAAAAGGCTACTCATTTCCCGTAGTTTCTAGTCCCGTAGAATCAGGAAATTCGCGAGAAACGCACACATTAGCGCACGTCGAAAACGAGTGAGATGAGCAGTAGTCGGTAAGAGTGCGAGAAAATTATGCGGCACGTTCGAGTTTTCGAGGAGATGTCTAATCTCTACACACTGCAACGTTAATCTCGACGCGGCGGCGGATAAACTCGCAAACAAGACAAGCCCCCGGATTCGCAGACTCTCTTTCTCTCGCACAGCTCGCCCACGACCTTTATTCCCACCTGAGACGCCCCGTGGACGGACGCAGGTGCGGTCCGCGAAAAAAGAAACAGGTTTGTACACCGTCGCCGTACCACCGTCGATGAAAAAATTGGAAAAAAGAGAAAGGGTAGGAACGAAGAGAGCAAGAAAAGGAGGCACACATTTGGACTCGCGATGCGCTTAGGACCGGCCGGGTTTTGTGATGCATTCACGAGAGACGACGCGAGGAGCGACAGCAGCAGCAGCAGTTGCTCTGCGCGGGAAAAGGGGAGATGGTAGCGGAGAAGAATGTCCCGTCTCCGTGTCACCGCACCCAATAACACGCGGGTAATCACGATTTAATGGCTCAATAACGTCCACCACTGCGTCCTGCCACGGACCCCGAAACAATTTATCGGTCCCGCCAGTCGATAAATTCGGCTTTTGAGTTGTATACGGGCCTGACCGGTCCCGCGCGAGCGGACCGCGACGCTTTTAAATCTCCGGCGCGTCCGAATCCGAAACGGCGAATTTCAAAATGACGCGTATAAATTACCCAAAGGATAAATACCAGTCGGCTCACGGCTCTTCCGACCCCTCCCTCCTGCTCACTCGTCGTCCTTACACGAGGTATCGTCTCCTTGCCGATTTCACGCCGCGTCATTATAAAATTCGTCGTGTCGCGAAACGAAACACGTGGCTCCTTGTCCACGTGTGCGTTTGTCACTGTACGCCGCTGTACACAACGTGGGGACAGCATGCAGAGAACAATACAGGCAACTGTGAATGTCGGACTAATTACGTTGGTCTTCACCCATTATAATTTTGTTATGACCGTGCAAAATTAGAGAAGTTATCAATTATAATTTCTGGGAGAACTCGTTACCGAGAACTGTACAGCTGAAACTTCGACGAGCTTACCGACTACTCCTCGATAGTATAGTGGTTAGTATCCCCGCCTGTCACGCGGGAGACCGGGGTTCGATTCCCCGTCGGGGAGTCTCGATTTTTTTTCTTCTCATTATTATTATTATTATTAAATGTTATTATTACATTGACGCTATAAAAATGAATGTATCGTTTGGCTTAACTATTTACAAAATATAATTATTTTTTTTATATTATTTTTTATATTATTTTATATTATTTCTCCTCTGTACTTATAATAGGCGTGTTGTTTGCACTTGATGCACACGATCGTCCAATTCCACAGCTATTTAACTAATTTTTTAGATACGCTCGAATACACAATCGGATAAATTTCAAACAATTTTCGAGTAGTGTCTCAGTAAAAAAGAAACAAGAGTGGTTAGTATCGCCACGAGGAAGACCGGTGTTCGATTCCCCATTGGGGAGACCTTTTTTTACTCCAATAATTATTATTATCACACTTTAGAGGAATTAGGTATTTTATTTGGTCGTATATAATAAGATGTTTTAGCATTGAAAACTTCGAGTCGTATTGAAAACTCTCGCGTGCTTTAACTCCGGGAAGACGCGTTACGACTAATTCGCAGTAATCGTAAACAATCATAGCTAGTTGGCTGTAAAAAAGAGAAGAAGAAGAGAAAAGCACATAAACCTATCTACCGCGCAATATGTAAAATTATAACGCGTGTAATAGATGCGGAAAATAATCCTATCTTCCTACGGTGTATGAAAATACAACGTATGGTGTAAAAGTTCTGTCCCTCTCTCTCTCTCTCTCTCACACACGCGTGCACACTCTCTCCCTTCCTTTCTTCGTATAAACGGTAGACGTTTTCGCCCGGTTTTTATCATAATTTATGGACAAGAGAGTATAATATCTCGTAACGCGCACGTACACGAATATCCGCTTAAAAACGCATCTGGAACGAACGACGTCGAATTTTCATGATGCAATGCGGTGCATTCGTCTATCTCGGTAAATTTACATCCCGTTATTACAGCAGTATTTCGGAGCCATGTGTTTGTCTCGTCCCGCGTTTCATCATCGAACACGGGCACTGTTTGTCTTCCCCCATGTCGACGTTAAATCTGATATTAGGACGACGAACGCGCGCGCGTGATCACTCGTCAATAGTCCGAGCATGGCGACAAACCTATCGATTGTTCGTAAAGTCGAGTTTGTAATTTAGATCGACGCGCGGCTCGCGGCATATCGGCCGCTTTTGATGCCGCGACCGTATTGATAACACATCGAAACTGAATATTTCGAGAATAGGCGGTCGAGGAACGATCACGGCCCGCCCGCATCGCGTTTAACGCTCTAAAACGTAATTTTATTCATGCTCCGTAGGTGTAACGATCGCTCGTACTAGCTACACCTTCATTCTCGTTTGACGGCACCGAGATCTGTCCCTTTGGGACACCGACGGCGATCTATACGGGTTGGCCGAGCCGCGATGCGCTCCTCATTTCGACCAAGTGCGCGATATTCTTCTTGTGAAGGTACCTTCATCGTCATCGCGATTCTCGTAATGTCCGGAGAACTCGCAAAATGGAGGCTGATGACTCATAGCGACATTTAAAAGAGATCCCGACGTTACTTTTCCTCTTTTCGTCCGACAAAACTGGCACACTCGTTAGAGTATTTGAACACACAATGTTTCCGGAGCGTGACTCGATTTGCCGATCGAATCCTGTCGATGTTTCAGTCAGCAATAGTTTTTGAGAGTCGACATAAATTGATAATAGCGCCGGTGGGTACGAACGAAACGCGAATAACGAAATACACAGTAATAGATTTGAGATCTCTCTCCCCTGCGAGCATATTTTTTGAAAAGAATTCCGCTTTCGCGCTGCACCAGCGCGTACCGAGTTCTCCCCGAGCTAACAAAAAAATCTGTAAAAATGATTCGAAAAGTTACGGTCAAACTGCAGAGATGTATTCTATTTAGTCGGAATTTTTCTTTTTCGTTTTTCATACAAATGCACGTTCGAAAACGTTATTTCTCCGAGCTATATATAAAAATCCAAATATCCGGGAGGAAACTGACATATCGCTGGAAGGACGCACAAGAGAAGGGTCTCGACTACGCGGACTGATCAAGAAACCACGAGGAAAAACGAAAACACAAGTGAGTGCACCATGATATTTGTAATAATATTCGCTGTAGTCAATTTCATCTGTTTTATTTTTGTCGACTCAATATCCATGAAATATCCAATCGATAAAGAAAAGTGAGCATTATCGCCACGCAAAGAAGCCCGCCATGAACATGTGGAATAAACTGCGTATTGTTCTAGAGGAGGACAAAGCTAGCATGAGTAAGAAAAATCAATAGAGAGTAAGATGCTTTTCTTGTCTAGCTAATTGTTTAGTTGGTGGGAAGAACGAAAGAGAGAAGAAGTAATGAGTGTATCCTCTCTTTCTTTTACTATGTTTCACTCTCTGTCTCTCTCTCTCGTTTTTCCTGCATTGCTTCTAGAGCGCTAGGTGACAGAGAGAGAGAGAGAGAGAGAGAGAGAGAGAGAGAGAGAGAGAGAGAGAGAGAGAGAGA